ACAGATGAAGTTTGAGATAAGAAATAATAAATGGGGGTGGGGGGAGAGGAAGGGAGGAATGCAACTGGGAGGAAAGAGAGATAAAGAGAAAAGAAGGCAAGGGAAGTGAGCTTGTATGCAGAAGTGTATGTGAGTAGTCATATGTGGCGGGAGGAGCTCCTGGGATCCCCTCCTCCTCAGCCTGTTCCTCTCACTGTTTCACCAACTCCAGGCCCCCGCCAGGGGCAGGGCATAAGGCAGGTAGACAGACAAGCTAAGCCTCTTTGTCTATTTAAACCACCCAGAGCTAGCCATAAATTCAACATCCTAGTCAGGTTCAGCCTTTTCTTTCAACATCACAAAATTTTGCTTTTAATCCATTATAAACTTATGGACCACGACTGTATATGCAGTCTGTTATATACCTAAACATCATTATGCAGTGCATGACTGTATTATAAACAAACTCCACATAAACCTTTGCCTGTTATTTTTAAACAAAGAAATATAATTTCCTTCTTAAAATATTCTGGAGTCTTTTTTTAATCATCTTAAATTTCTATACGGTGAAGATTGATACTAATTCCAAATCAAAACTATAATATTGTGACAGTGATTAAAATAAAGTTTAGAAATTTGAGTGATACTTTTAAAAGGATATCATTTGCAAAAAGGATACTGCATATCTTTAAATAAGGAGTACATTCAGGTTCCTAATTCCTCTTTATACTCACCCCAATTACTGAAAAAGAAAAAGTACAGAAAAAGTTAAACAACAAACTGCATTCAAATCATTTGGAACACAGATATTTCTGACAAGAAAATATGGGTAAACACACTTAAATAAGCTTACATAAAATGTAAATTTTCAAACGTAAGTGCCTTTATGATTTAGAGATACATCTGAATGCACTGTAATTATATCAATTCTGTGACCGATCTACTTTTTTGTATAGTTTTTTAAATTGTGGTAAAATATACATAACACAAAATTTACCATTTTAAGTGAATAGTGCATTGGCATTAGTACATTCACATAGTTGTGCAACCATCACTACTAACCCAACTCCAGAAGTTTCAGTCACCCCAACTGAAACTCTAATCAACTTTTTAATAACTCTAACTCTCATTCTCCCTTGTTAGTCACTCTTGTCATCACAGGGCATCTTAACACATTGAGGACGAGGCATTTGAAAGTATAGACACAAACCTGCGTCACCGATCCACAATGTGTTAAACGTATGAGATACAATCTTAAATATTAACAAGAGGTGTTGTTCCTAAGATACAAACTCATAATTTTAGGGTGGATTCATACAGACTTAATTTCCTAACCTTAGAGATAAAGAAATTAAAGCCCACAGAAGCAAAATGACTTCCAAAATCTCCTAAGTAGTAGGAACAAATTAGCTCTAGGACCACTGTAATCTGTCTCTTTAGCGTTCTTCAGTATAGTACACTGCCTTTTAAACCATGGCCATGACCCCAATAGAGCTGAGCCTTGAACAATGTGGGGGTTAGGAGCGCTGATCCCACCTTCCCCATACAGTCGAAAATCCTCATGTAACTTTTGCTTCCCTAAAAACTTAACTATAGTTGGTATCCGCCAGGGACTGGTTCCAGAATCCTCCAAGGATACCAAAATCCACAGATGCTCAAGTCCCTTATACAAAATGGCACAGAACCATGCATACAGTCGGCCCTCTGCATCCCCAGATTCCCAACTGTGGATCAAAAATACTGTTTTGGTATCTTCCTCAGATACCAAAATCCATGGATGCAAAATCCACAGATATAGAGGGCCAAAAAAAAATCTGCATAAGTGGACCTGCACAGTTCAAACCCATGTTGTTCAAGGGTCAACTGTATACATCACGAAACTGAAGTACAGCAACTTGAATCTTTAATACTCAAGGAAAAAGATAAGCCACTATAAAATGATTGTTTATGATTGAAATTAACATCTTGGTTATAAAACTAACCAAAGTAACTATATCTGAACATAAGTAAGTAGATCCAATGAGGGTTTAAGCTTTCACAAAGGTTAATGGATTGAGGATTCTGTACCTTAAGTTTAGATCTGATAAGACTGATGAAATGGAAACATAAATATAACCTCATCAAAAAACTTATAATTTAGTGAATAACAAAATATTAATTAAATGGGGAAATGTAAAATTGTTCATGTTAGTCGTCTTCCTTCAAAGTAGTAAATACATCAATAAGAAGATATTAAAAAGGTCCCAAGGTAAAATATTTTAAAATGTCTAAGACATAAGTGATCCACAAAAAATGTCTTGAGAAATTGTAGAACTCCACCCAAGATGAAAAAAAGTTTTAAAAAGAGGGTTACAAGTTATATAAAAATAGTTATTCTTAACAATTAAATCTCTATTTAAGCTAGTGCAAAAATTAAAAATCAAATAAGTTCCTCTTATCTATTCAAAGAAGAATTCACTAAAAGTAATTCTTTGCTTTTGTAAAGACCTAAACTCAATGTCAAAATCTGCCTTATTACTGTTATATAAATAAAAAACTTCATTTTCTAATGTTGTAGAAAATTACTCATACATATAAAAAATTATCACCCATTACATTATCTTAATATTGCTTTCTATACATTAATTTGCTTAGAAATTAAACTGCCTAGACAATAGCAGCTACAAATTATTAGTTAAGGCTAGTTTAGCATTCATTATCTCTATTGCTCTAAACAACATCACAAGATAGTTTTATATCACAGATAAGGAAGCAAAAACTCAAAAACTTGTCATTTGTACAAGGTGAAGGAGCTAGTTTATTTCTTTAAAATAGTCTTATACAAAAAGAATAAACAATGAACAGTATTAATATAATAATAGTAACAATATGTACAGATTTAAAGTTCATGATAGTCTTCTAATTAATGACAGACATAATAAATAATGAATATTTTTGAGCAATATATAGAATCCACAAATTTCACTAAATGTATTTTCTAACAGAAAGCAGAATAGCTCAGTTCAGAGTCTGTGCCAAAATTCAGAACTTGTTTCTCGATCCAGCTTTGCTATTATCTAGCAAAGGAACGTTAATTCACTTCTGTGTGCCTCTATTTCTTCACCTACTATGGAGGGGAAAGTATTTGTCCAACCTATCACAAGTTTGTTGTGAAGGAGTAATGAAATATATAAGAGCTTTGAAAAAAATCTCTTTTAAAATATAAAAATATTGAGGACCTTTAGAACAAACACACCAGAACTTTATCTTCTCTATCAGATAGGGTTTGTTTCCTTATCTATAAAAAGCAGACACTGGATTAGATGATCTCCAAATTCTCTTCCAACTGGAAAATAAATTCAGTAAATCTATCTAACTAGTTAAGCTCACAGGAAGTTCTTTAACACTTAACCCCTCCAAAAAAAACAAAAAGAAAATCCTTTACTTTTTAATTGGTTGATTAACTAAACAGGACAGCTCAGTAATCTCTTCCAATAAGATGAGAGTCAAACATCTTCTTCAAAGAAAAAAATTGGGAATTTAGCACAAAATTATATAAAAATGGGAGCTTCCAAACAGGAAATATAAGAAATGTGCTTCTGGGGCCGGCCGAGTGGCGCGATGGTTAAGAACTGGCTTGGGATGCCAGAGGGCCCCGGTTCGGATCCCACATATGAGGGCCAGTGACACTGCCCTCCACAGCTAAGATGCTGAACAACAGCTCAACCTGGAGCTGGGCTGCCGTGAGTCGCTGGCGACGGCGTAGGCTGCAGCCCCTGTGGCAGTGGGTTGCCATGGGCTACCGTGTGTGGCCAGCAGCCAGCGTGAGCAGCCAGCAGCCGCAGTGAGCGGCCGTCCAGAAGCCGGCGACTGATCTGCCTCAACCTGGAAGAGCGCAGTGATGGTGCCAACTTGGGCAAGTGAAGCAACGTCCTACACAACTAGATTGAAGAACAACAAAAAAAAAAACGACAGCAACTTGTCTGTTCCCCTTCCCCAATCCCCCAGCACTGTTCCCATCCCCCCAATTCCCCAATAAAAAATCTTTAAAAAAAAAATTAAAAAAAAAAAAAAAAGAAAAAGAAATGTGCTTCTGGCTGTTGTAAGGAACCAGTGCAATGTAGACTAAGGGTTAAGAGACTTCCTCCTTCTGAAGCCACAGTGTGACTAGGGAAAAATCAAGCCTAGACAATGGCTAGAACAATGGCTTAAGATCCTGAACTTCAACAAGGAAGAAAACAAATCATAACAATGGTCTGGTGAATATAATTCAGCTAGAAAAAAAGAGTAAGGAGGAAAAAAAGGTACAATGTCCATAGAAAGCTACCTTCAGAACTTTCAAAAGACAACTCAGAAATCCTTACAAAAGGAGCTGGTCATGCTTAGGGGCTAGATCTTATATGTAGGTTCAGAAATCTAATTAACTTTATTTACTTGCTTACTTCTATGTTTTTGATGGATTAATTCAATTTACTAAAAGCTCATACTTCAAAATTGTAACCTAGTCTCTGTTGAAATAAGTCCCAGACAAACTCTTAACCCAGCTCCAAAGCTGGGCATTCAAAGATCCACAAACGCTCTGAAACTGCATGTAAAAGTTTCTGTTTGTGCTTTATTCTGAGAGGCAGCTGTGGAAACTGATCTCTTTTAACCTTTCCTTTTATATTGCATTTCAACATTCTTACATTTAACAGTGGGCTAATTCTCAGGAGAGGAAATCTCAGTGTAAAACAGCGTCACTCAATGGGAGTTATTTACTAAATAATCATAATTAGAAAAATTAGCTACAAGGCAATCTCACCTATTAGGTTAATTCCAAAGCATGAAGACCTAGCTAAGATAGTGTCCTAGTGAGACTGGTGTATTTGAGCAGAAAATATCTAACAAATGAAGTTGACACCAAGCACAGTGCCTAATATTAAATGTAAAACTTAACCTTTCCCAAGTAACTGTTTTCACAAGATTTTTCTTGAAAATTAGTAATGTGTTTGTGGGAGAAAAACAGTGACTCATTAATTAGCTCAAATTATGATGCCACTTACTTTGATTGTAACAATCACCATCTTTTCCAACTGCAGTTCTAGCTTGCTTAATTATCTGGAATTGTGATTCCTTATCTGTCAAAAAAAAACCCACCCATAAACACTCTATGAATTATCAGTGTCCACAATTAAATTATTAACTGGTTTCTAATCCAAGCTCTTTGGCATAGAGACTAACCTACAAGAATCTTAATAGAGGAAACACCAAAATAGCTGCCTAGGTAATCTGAATGCAGGATTCTTTCAGGTCTAGCTAGATCCCAGTCAGGAACCAGAGTTCAAGTGGTTCAGAAAACATTATAATCAGGCATGCAGCAGCAGCAGCCACCACAAATTTTAGCAAACAATAATATCTAACATTTCTTGATTCCCAGCTAAGTGTCAGGTAGCATTCTAAGAACACTACTTATATCATATCATTTAATCCTCACAAAGGAACTATGACTATCATACCCATCTTATAAAGAAATTTAGGCAACAAACAGGTTAATTTACCTCAGCGGTTCTCCACCTGTGGGTCGCGACCCCTTTGGGGGTCAAACGACCCTTTCACAGGGGTCGCTGGGTACTCATATGTGGGCGTATCTGCATGTGGGCCTGGAGACGGATAGAGGAGCGGTGTCTCGGTTCCTAAGACCATTGACAATATGTGTTTCCTGATGGTCTTAGGCGACCTCTGTGAAAGGTTGAGAACCGCTGATTTACCTTGCTGAAGGTCACACATCTAAAAAGTGACAAAACCAGGAGCTGAATCAGGACATTCTGATTTCAGAGCCCAAGAGTTTAACCTCTTGGAACACATTTCCATCCTCAGTCCTATCTTCAAACTGTGTTGTGTGGCCAGATTCTTGTTATAACCAAGACAGTGTCTGTCCTACTGTACAAAGCTTTACAGGGTTTTCACTGCCTATTAATATAAGCCTACTCTCTAAAGTTCAGGTTACAAAAACTAGTTTCACTATATATTAATTAATCCTACATTCTCTTAAGGTACAAAATGTCTTTAATCATAAGCATATTTACAAAGTCCATTCTTTTGATAATTCAAAAGTGAATTATCAATACCTACAGATATATCTATAGTAAGATATTTTAAAGTTATAATCTATTACGTTAATACTTACTCAAAGTAATTGAAGGTATCTTCGCATTCTCATAGAAAAATTCAGAATTATACATTTTATCCTAAACAGTAAAAAAAAAAAAAGAAAAAAAGAAAAAACTTAAGTGTTCTTGAGTATCAAATGATTAACTATTTTAAGATTTGACGGGCCAGCCGATTGGCACATTGATTAGGAGTTGGCTTGGGACGCCAGCTCTGAGCAGCAGGGCCCGGTTCAGATCCCACATGGGGGCCAGTGACACTGTGCCCTCTATAGCTCAGATGGTGAACAACAGCTCAACCTGGAGCTGGGCTGCCGTGAGTCGTCGGCAGCTGGTGTGAGCTTTCGTGAGCTGCTGTGAGCCGCTGTGAGCGGCCGTCCAATGGCCAACAAGCAACTGCCTCACCCAGGAAGAGCGCAATGATAATACCAACATGGGCCAGTGAAGCGACGTCCTCCACAACTAGACTGAAGAACAAAAGGACAGCAACTTGTCTGTTCCCTTTCCCCGATTCCCCAATAAAATCTTAAAAAAAAAAAAAATTTGACATAAACCAACAATTTATTATAGTGTCACTTAAATAGTTCTTGCAATAATTTGTGATGTTAGGCAAGTACCATTCTATGCCACAAATGACTATTATTTTATGTCATAAAATCTCACACTATACCTCCCATATATTATTAATTCATTAATACATCAATTATATGACATATACATAAATATGTGATACCTCTTCTTCTTTGGTGTAGCCCAGTTTCCTCAATCTACACGATACCATGTGCTTTGCTAAAGATGATTTAGGCATGTGATGATTGGAATCATAAGGGCATATCACAATGTCATCCTGTAAAAGTCAAACAGAAGCAAAGAAAAAAGGTACGTATTTAAAAATTTAAGTAATTATACCATTAAATGATTATACTTGATTAAGTGATACTATCTAGTTATGTCCTCTTCTGCAGGCCTCTTCCAACCTTGTTTGAGTATAATGTGCATATTAAAAAAATCAGCCTCCCTCAATCTCCCTCCACTTTATAGCCTCTGCCCCCTCTCCACCCCTTCAAAACCCAACTCTGAAGGATTTGTTCACACTCACTACCTCAACAACCTCACCTACCAGTCAGTAGGTCATTGACAACCTTCTTACTATAGCCAAAGCACCATAGTCCTTGTACTATCTGAACTCTTAGAAGGTCACAATCCAAATGTCCATTTCTGTCATCCTAATACATTCAAGTTCCTTCTACCACTTTGGCTCCTTCTACTTGGTCTTCTAAAGATCTGTCTTCCTTGTTCTATCTGTTCCCCTTTATTATCCCTCCCCGCCCCCCACAAAGGAACCTTATATACCTGGGTTACACATACATTTTCTTTTTTCTATTTCTTTTAATTCCCAACCCCGCCCCTTTAGCAACCTTCAACTTATTCTCTATATCTATGGGTATGTTCTGCTTTGTTTATTCATTTTTTTCTTAGATTCCACATGTAAGTGAAATTCTACAGTATTTGTCTTTCTCTGTCTGACTTACTTCACTTAGCGTAATACCCTCTAGGTCCATCCATGTTGTCACAAATAAAAACATTATTTTTACTGCTGAATAACATTCTATTGTGTATATATATACCACTACCAGTCCCCCTTTAAATGTTGATGTTTCATGTAGGTCTAACCAGTGGTCTTTTACCATTTGACATAAACTTACTGGAAGAACTCATGGCTTTAATCTGCACTATATAGTGATGACTCCCCAAATCTATATCTTTAGATCTTGTTTCTGTCTTGAGTACCTTACACTAAAATTTCAACATGACCAAAACAAATTCATGATCTCATGACCCCCAAACCCATTCATGTTGTGTTTCCTATTTTAGTGAAAGGACCTAGTTGCTCCAGCAGGAAACTTCCTCTTCTCCCACATCATCTACATCTAATCAATCACCTATTGTTTTTACTCCTAAATAACTCTGAAATCTCTCCATATAATTCATCCCCACTACCACTTTCCCAATTCAAGGTATCATCATCTCTCTCCTAGATTACAACAGCCATTGCCTAACCTCCTCACTCTGTTTCCAGTCTTGCTGTCCATCCCACTGTCCACTATAGCTAGTTTGAATCCCAGCTCTGCCACTGATGACTGTATGAACTTGGTTGAGGTAAGTATCCTTTCTTTGCCTCAGTTTCCTTGTCTATAAAATAGGTATAATAGCAGGACTGCTCTCAAAAAGCAGTTGTGAAGATGAAGTAAGTTATACATGAGTTCACACACATAAAGCAATTTGAACAGGACCTAGTACATAGCAAGTGTTCAATAAATGTAAGCAAATATTACTTTATTAAAAGGTATGATATGCCCTGGCTTAAAATACTTCCATACCTCCCCTACTTCCCTCATAAAACACACACACACACACACACACACACACACACACACACAGAGTCTTTAAAATGGCTGACACAGGACCTGTAAGATCTGGTCCCGACCCACCATCATTCCCCTCCTTCTCCACATCCTATGCTCTAGCTATCCTTAACCAGGGGAGGTTTCCTCATCTGGTCACGCCCTTGTCTCTGGACTTCTACACATGCTGTTGATGCTTCCTCTGTGCTTCAAAAGTGAGTAATTCAGCTCACTTTATCAGCTTAGAATTCATTTTATCAAGGAAGTCTTTACTGTACCACCATAGGCTACAATAACCTGTACTACAACAATTCCATCCCACCCTTCATAGACTTTGTCACATTATAATGTAATGGCTGATTTCTGTCACTACTACCAGACAATAAACACTATGAGGACAGAAACCATGACTGCTGTTCACTCAACTTCAATATTAAAACATTCTGGCAGTATAGATTCATTACCTATCTGGACTACACTTAGTCTAGGAATTATAGATGTCATTTACCACGATTTTTAAGCCAGTCACTCTCCTGAATATCAGATACTGGTTTTGCAGAAGTCAGATGTACACCCACAGCTGACTGTCAGAATTTTGGAATTTTACAAAGGAATTTTTGAGAGGCAGCACAGCAATTAAACACACAGATTATCAGGAGCCAGGATGCCTGGAGTCAAATCCCAAAATGCCTGGATTCAAATCCCAACTGACATTAGCAGCATGTCCTTGGACAAATTCCAACCTCTCTAGGTTTGTTTCCTCATCTGCAAAATATGAGTTACCGTTACTTACCTCATTTAATTATGAGCATTAAATGAGGTAATGTATATATAGCAAGTGGCATATACAAAGTGCGATATGTTAATACAAGAAATCCAAATTTACTATAATGCTGAGTAAACGATGGCATGGAAAGGCTTGGTAGACCCCACTCAATGAAATTCACAGCTTAAAATATATCTCTAAACAAAAAATAAAGTTGTTGGCCTTTTGAGCATTTTGAGCCTCGCCTCTGCTCGGGGCCCGCTCCAAACTCTTTGGAGTGTGCTTTTTCTCCTAATAATGGCTCCCTGGCCCTGGCCCTGGCCCTGGACCCCTTGGGCCTTTTGAGCTTCCTTTGCTCGGCCCGCTGCAAACTCTTTGGAGTGTACTTTCTTTTCTAATAATGGCCCTTGAGCCATTCTCTACTGCTCGGGCCCGCTTCTGCTTCTTTGAAATGTATTTTTATTTCTAATAAACTCTTTTTCTGCAACTTTACTTCTCTGGTCCGTGTTTCCCTTCTTCAGTTCCACGACCCCAGCACAAGAAATACCCTACATCACTACGGTACACATGGATGTGGCAGAATAGAGGCTATAAAGCTACACATGATGGTCATCAACAACTATCAACCCCTGAGACCCGAAGCTCCAGACGCCTATCAGGGGCCCATGGATGGACACTTCCCTCCGCCTCCTCTGATCAATAGTTAGCAAGCCGAAGGAAACCATAGAAGTCACAACATCCCTTTACAGCAGGAAGTAGCCAGAGTGGTCGTTGCCCCAAAGTCCCCAAAGATTTAGGTTCCTAATGCGTGAGGAGAGAAATGTCAGGTAGAAGTTAGAAAATATAAGAGGAGGGTAGGAGGGAGTCCATAGTGCCTACAGAAAAAGTACATAAATAACTGATTAACTGCCTCCAGCCACGTGTCTGTTTTTACAACAAGATGACAAGATGACAAGAGGTGTTCTGGAGCAAGATAAGGGTCTAAGTCAATGGAACCCCACCTATCTTAGGAGGGCATACCCTCCCCTGGAAGAGCATGCACCTCTTTTCCCGCCAAATCAATATGTATCTCCCTCACCCCATCCAGCAAACTGTAAATCCTCGACACAAGGGCTCTCTCTCACTCTTTTTTTTACGCCAGCTCTTTCCCTCTTTCTCACATCCACCTCAGTTAGGCCCCTTCTCTTCCCTGAGAATGTATCACTAATAAACCCTGCTTGCATATTAAAAAAAAAAAACACAAGATAAGGGGAAAAAATTGATGGCTGCTGATGGGAGTAGGCAGATGGGGGAAAAGGTAAAGGGATTAGAAAACGCAAATTGGTAGTCACAATATAGTCACAGGGATATGAAATACAATTTGAGGAATATAATCAATAATGTTGCAAAGATTATACAGGGTGCCAGATGGGCACTGGACTTATTAAGGAGAACACTTCATAGACTGTGTAGATGCCTGACCACTACGCTACACACCTGAAGATGAAGTAGAATAATATCGAATGTCAACTATAAATATATACAGAGGATGCCAAAAAAATGTATACACATTTTAAGAAAAAAACTATTAAAATTGTAATACTCAATATATAGTTACATTTGACTTCCGCAATTACAAGAGGTGCTCAAAATGATTACCATCAGCATCCAGATACTTCTGATTACAGCGAACTACTGCTACATAGATAACATCTCTTAAAATGTGTGCACATTTTTTTTGTGTCCTCTGTATATATAGAGTCACAGGATATGGAGTACAGCATAGGGAATATAGTCAATGGAATTGTAACAGCTATATTTGATGTCAGATGGGAAGTAGATTGGGGGGGTTATTAATTTGTGA